ATTGATATTACAATGAAACTAGCAAATGTACACTACCAGAGTCTAGACACATTCATTAGACATGTTCCCATAAGCTTCCCATATGTTCTTATCACTTGTTCTTATTCTCTGCTACTTTTCCTGCATTATCCAGTACAATTCATTAAAAAAATTAAATTAAAATGTGAACATTCATATGCATAATTTATATTTGTCCACAAAATAGTTTCAAGCACAACTATAAGCCTGTAGATCAAAAGGTTAGCTGTACCCAAACATAGAGTATAGTTTTAGGGTAGTACTAGTGTATTTAAATTAGTAAAAAGTTTTTTGTTGTTGTTTTTTGCGCAGATGCTGCTGGGACAAAGGATATCCTGGCTCCTCAATAGAAAGTGGTTCAGCACGACAAGCAGGGCAAATAGGGCCATCTTGTGGTTGAATAATGAATCATACATGTGTATAGCCGTTGAAGTGAAATCAAGATTTTTCTAAAATATATATCATTTGTGTCAGTTATTCTTAAAACTCACCATAGCTCTCTCTCTTTTAAACTAGATGGCAAAGAAATAAAATAGGTGATGAAGAGAGAGAGGGAAAAAAGGTGAGAGTGTCCAGTCAGCAGGTCAGGAGGACTAATCTTCTTAGACAGGTGGGACAACAGCAAGCTGCTCAGGGACTCAACAGTAATATATTTTCCACCTGTGTGGTTATCAAAGACTATTTTTTAGAATTAACTAGGCTTCAGGTCCACATCGACAGACAATAGATGAAAAAGATAAAGAAAGTTAGGCAAGAAGTTAGTAATCTCATTAAATAACATAGACCCACAGACCCAGCACTCAGGCTTTACATTATCACATTATCAAGTTCAGAAGGAACAAGTACAAGTCTTTTAACGTCATCCTTTGGGAAATAACAAGAACATAAATAGAAAAGAATCATTAATAATCTACAGGAAAATAAGCAGTGCTGTTTCCTGAATGTTATGATCTGATGGTTTTTAATAATGCACATTTTGGAAAAGATGTCACTTAAATTCTTTTTAGTTTAACAAAATTAATGTTTTCTTTGTTTCCTTAAAATTTTCTAGAAAACATATTCTGTCATAAAGCTTGACTCTTTATCCCAGAACAATCAGTTTGTTTAAAATGACAAAGGGTTCAGTTATTAACAAAATAATATAGTTCACTGTTTTTCAAAAATAGATTTTTTCGAGAGGTGAGTGGGTAAAGGATATGGAAATTGAAATACCTGATGAAACATGGGATGAGGCTCTGAGTAGAGTAAAAGGATCAACATCTTGTGCACGCCTCAGTCTTAATTGCAAAATCACTCACCGTGCCTTCTACACAAAGTGTAAACTTTCAAAAATATACCCTGATGTTGATGAGGTGTGTGATCGATGTAAAAGTGACAAAGCAGACTTTTTTCATATGTTTTGGGCTTGCCAAAAGCTGAGTGACTATTGGGCACTAATATTTAAAACACTAAATGATGCCTTTAATTTAGAAATAAAACCCAGTGTTGAAATTGCTATTTTTGGTGTACCAGAATGCACAATATCATTGACAATCAAGTTAAAAAAAATGTTATCGTTTTTGCCACTTTATTAGCGAGACGAAGAATATTACTTGAGTGGAAATCAACAATCCCACCTAAAGCTTCAATGTGGATGTGTAATCTGGTTTTGTATTTTGAAATGAGAAAAAAATTAATATTTAATGAAAGGATCTGTCCAAAAATTTTGAGACATGGCAACCTATGATCACATATTTTGAAAAGATGAAGACTCTCCCCCTTAGCTGATCATTAAAAAGAGATTTGTGGAAACTGGTTTAAACGTGATCACCCATGTTGTTTGGTTTTATATTTATGTAAAGACCACTATGAATGTGTCAGAGTATTGAATTGTATGATTGTCTAGGCAATTATTTATTTATTTATTTTTATTATTCCTTTAATTATATTGTTCATCTGTGAATGTGTACAATATTGTCAAGTTTATCTTGTATTTTTATTTTATTTTATTTTTTGTTTTAATTCTTCCTAAATTGCCTATTCTTATTGTTGTTGTAATTTTATTTTATTTTGTTTAATTATTTTGGCGGTAAGGGTCATCATGGGGGAAAAGTTATAACCTTAATTGTATAAAGTGTTCCGTTAAAGCTTGGGGGAAAAATGATAAATAATTATAAATGTAAAAAAATTACATTTGATGATACCTGCAAAAAAAAAAAAAAAAAGATTTTTTCTTTTTCCCTTTCCCCTAGATGTCAACAGCCCACATAGCAGCCTGTGACATCACAGCCTTTTAAACTCAGAAACAGATGAGAGCATTCTGTGTATGTGAGTGGGCTGAAATGGCATCAAGTATGCAGCTTGTGATTCAGCAGACTTTGCATATACAAAATACAATTTCAATAGACGCAGACATAAAACAGAGCCGGACCTGAATCCTTAAATGGGATTGGAGGAATCAAGCTGAACTTTCACACAGATAACCAGGGAGGGAGAGAAAGCAAGACAGGGATGGAAAGTGTGCCACACATGCGCAAGAAATAAACAACATAAAGAGAAGGAAAATTAGAAAGCACAGGAGGAACAGCTCTCTGTGGATATACAGCACAAAAAAAGAAAACTATAGAAGGAAAGAGAGAACACATAGAAGAAGACGCAGATATCTCAGGGAAGCATAGATAAACACAGAAAGAGATTAAGAGCATGGGTCACAGAGCACAGAAAGATTTATTAGCACTTACATAAAGGCCTGAAATATTTTGCCAGGGTGTGTTACCATAGTAACCCACCACCAATAGAGTCATTACTGACACACCCTAATCAGATCTGCTCCGAAAACCCCTGTTCACCCCTTTATCTCAAACTAAATCAGCATACTAAAACAGAATATATTAAGGGGGTTGTATGCACAGTAAAAAGTAACATCTGTATCATGGTTTGATTTTCTTTCAGGTGACAGTAGTGAAGCTGCAGCTCTGACTAAGCCAAGCAGGCATACCATGCAATTTGGTCTAAGAAAGTGACATGTACTCACTCACTCACTCACACTCACACACACACACACACACAAAAAACCTTTCCAAAATTTCTCATCATCCACTCTAACATACATAACTCTGACCAATTTGTCTTGCATGCATACTCATGCTAGCTGTCTTATCCCATAATAAGACTAGGAGTGTCTGCATTTCATCATTGCAAATTCTCATTAAACCCATGCTGCTAAATATATTTGAACATAGTATAAAGTTACGTCAGCAAGAGACAAAATATATTAGTTTATGTATTGTAAAATCAAAATAAATTAGTTTGTGTAATCATTCCATTTCATCTTCTCAGGAAATGAATATAAAGTTTGTTTACCCCATGCATTACAACAAATCAAGTGAATAGCACAATAAAAACCATGCTTTCAGCAACTGAATACAGTACATGTACATTTTGAGTGTTCACAAAATCATTCGTTGTAGTAGTATCATTATTTTTGTCAGCTGCCAACAAATCACTGGCAAAATCCCATATTCAATGCTATTAGCATTGTTAGAGATACAATAATTATGCGAGTGCTTTGGTTATGCAAAAAAATATTTTTTTATTTCATGAATCAGGATAGATAGATAGATAGATATGTAAGTAGGCCTACAGTTTCGACAGTTTCATATGGTCTGATGACAAATACAACTGACCGCAAAGAAACACGGTTGCTGCAGGAGAGATGCCGTGCCTTACCTGTCCCGTCGCGGTCTTGTCCGTCTCGAAAGCGGCTAGAGTTCCTCATCATCCAGGTTCTAATAAAGAGCAGCGCGGCTAACGTGTTCAGACACGGGCTGTGTCGAAGTGCTTGTGCTTGTCCCCGTTGGCTCGTGGAAACATTATTTAGAAGCGCACCGGTTCGCGTTGCTTTTAAATACAGGATTTGCGTGCGTGTTTTGATAACAAACGCGCGTGTAAAAACAGCCACATGGGAGTCCCAGACTTCAGAGAAACGGATTGAGGGCAGAGTAACGCCTATAACACTCGCTCTCATTATGTAATGCCAGATGAGTTGCTTTTCAAGGATAGATTAATTAAAATGAGCTGTGGATAATGGAGAAGTACAGTGACAACATGTCACTCTCCCTTTCTACACCCACTTATTCTTCTAATCCACTTACAGTAACTGTACTGTACATACTGTTTATCTAATCTTGTAAATGTACATTCATTAACAGTAATGCACACGCAATGGGTCAACTTACAATCAAAAACCCAAGGGCAGAATGTGATGATAATCATGTCATTTTTTGTTATCATTTATCAGTGAGGGACAAAATATGAAAGCTGTGATTTATCAGTCACTATCACGCAAAACATGATACATTTTGTGCTGTCATTGACTAACACTGTTATCAAACCTCTAACAAAACACTTTAGTATCCAAAAATATTTGGATAGTTAAGCCACACCTAAAATGTGTGAATGTCATTGTATTATATAAAATATCAAACCAACTGTCAATTATTTTTAAAGGCATACTCCACCAAAAAATAAAACCTCTGTCATCATTTACTACCCCTCCTGTTGTTCTAATCCCAAACTGTATGACGTCTTTCTTCTGCAGAATATAAAATATTATGAAGAATGTTGGGAACCAAACAACACTAAAACAACATTTCTCAAAATATATTTTATGTTCTACAAAAGAAAATAAGTCATGCATTTTTGGAATGACAATGTAAATGATGCCAGAATTTTCATTTTTGGGAGGAATATCCATTTACAACATAACACAGTACACTTTCAAGCAAAACATTTCACAAAAATGAATTTATTTAGGTATTAAATTCTAAAACAATAGATATACTGTTCAAAATTAGGACAAAGTATTTGGACACTTGCTTGTCCAACATAATAAAATGCATCGTAAGAACAAAATACTATACTAAGTATAAGTGAAATTATGCGGAGAAGAGGTTCATCATTATTTGGTTCGATATTTTGCTTCAGAAACTGTTTGAGCCACTGTTATGTTTTTATTAGTTTTGATTACATCATTAAACATTCTTTTAAAAAGTCTATAGTTGTTCTGCCGAAATTCCTATGATATATGCTAGTTAATAAAGAAATATATATTCCATGTGGAAGTGTTTGTGTGGGGTAACATGACCACATCCTGCTGTTGCTCAGTCATAAAGTCCCATCTGATGGAAAGGATGGAAGTTTTAAAGGTAGTCATCATAGCCAGATTCATCCCCAATGCCAGCTGCAAATATAGAAACATGTCAGACATATTTAGTATACCTTAAGGAGAAAACTGAGTTGAACTACATTTAGACAGAGGAGTTACCATTATAATGAAAATTTTGCTTCATTCCAGCAGAGTATGGATCTTTAATCTACAACAAACATTCAGATATAATTACATTAAACAGGTATTTACAAACATTTCTGTATTTCATACAATATAAGAGCACAAACTTACAGCTGAACTTGGAGGGGCTGCAGGGGCCTGGTAAGATGGAGGGGGTGGCACCCATGGTGGTTTGGGAATAGTGGAGTCAAAGTTTTGCATGCTAGCATTGGGATTCAACTTCAACGTGGCTATTCTGGCATGAATGGGAATAGGTGGGAGGGGCCCTTTCCTCTGGGCGAGCGACATAGACTCTTCATTAACACTGGAGAGAGTCTGTGATGAGTCATGTGATTGGCTGGACATTGTGCTAGCAACTGTTGGTTTGTTCTCTGGAAATGCTGCATCTGAATCAAGACAGTGTGGAACTCTGGATGCACTTCTAAGGGAAAACCTATGGCCAGAATTAAACAAACAAAAAACACAAATAATCAGAATCCAACTAGCCTCCACCAAAAAAAAACTGTAGGATATACTTTTCATAATTTTCACTCAGAAATTGCTAGTAAATCTCACAATTACAAAGAAATGGCAAGTAATACATTGAATTAAACATCAAATTTGTAAGTATAAAGACTGAAGTAGTATTTTCTTGTAAAACATACTCTAAAAAGCATTATTTTATTTACAACTTTAAAATATATATATATATTTTTTTTTTTTTTTTTTTGAAAGACATCACTAATGCTAATATATATATATATATATATATATATTTTTTTTTACAGTGTAATAAGATGTTGATTTCAGCACATAGTGTCCCTGTTTTACCTCTCACCTCTTGTGCACTTCATTTCCTCTAAGACAATTGTCAAGTTTTTCTTTCCAGTCAGAAACAGCCCCCACACTGTATCTGCGTGTAAGTCCCGAGTGAGATGCTAGAAAAGAGAGAAACATTCATTGGCACAATGTTCATTATTTTCATGCGATTTGCAAGGAGTATTCAGAGTGTCAGACCTTTGTTGTCACTGATCAGCTTCTGCACAGCAATGTAGAACTGCTTGGCTTCATCTTCATCCGCAAAGTTTATTCCTATCTGACACTCCTGCATGCACACACATGGTTTTTATCTGGATGAGGACTTTTCATCGACTTCTATTGTTTTTCGTTGAGCTAATGATATTTTATATCCCCTAAGCCCTAAACCTCAACCTTATTTTTTAGTCAATTGTGAGATTTAATATGATTGGTTGATATCCATAATGAGGGCAAATCTCGATCCACATGCACTTATGGATGCACGGATGCACATAAACACGCTTGCACACATACATGCAATGCAATGGAATTGTCACTCACATCACCAGGGAAGGTGTGGAAATAAGGACAAGTTTCTGAGTACCCAAATGGTGTATACAGCTCCTGTTCCCATTGCAGCTTGGCTTTCTGCAAAGAGAAAGAGAAATACCATGGTCACACAGCAGTGATGACATGGGCTAAAAATCTAAAGCAGAACCACTGCACATGAACTAGTGGTGGAAATGGGTCAAAAAAACAATAGAAACTTTGTAGAAGAGCTTTCTGAGAATGTGCAGAATAAATAAAGCAAATGAGTAATCCCACTAAAATGATAGTGTGAAATATATAAAAGCAGGTTGTGTGTATTGATATTTGCAGACAATTTAAAGAGAAATGTACACAAAATCATATAACTGTTTTAATGATTTAATGATTTTTTCCTGAAACTGCTTCTGCTGAATCCAAGAAATTCTGATTCAAAGGAAAAATGCTCTTTCTGTAATACCTGTTGGCCTCACCTTAAGACAGTAGAGTCTCATGAATGTTGAATGTACAGATTTATCTTGCATCAGACATAAAACTCCAAAACTGTGACTTTTCCACTCCTTTTTCTGTGGAGGGGCTGCTATTACCAGCTCGACAATACCACATGCTAAAACCTGTAATGTACACACACACACACACACACAAACAAAACATATACAGTGTATCTGTAAATGTATACTTTGAGCGTATGTGCATAAGTGCATATTCACAGACACACAATATAATTTGTTTTTTAATTAATACACATTTAACAACAAATATCCAGCCGCACTGCAGACAGTGCAGTCAGTGGTGTGGTTGTACAATGTCTTTTTGTCTGTACATATATGCAGTTTTGTCTGAAATATGCCGTTTGCATAGTTGAAAATCAATTGTGTCTGTCCTATGACTGAACTCTGCAGCTCTATGTCTGTGAATCATTAAAATAACCACTATGTTTTCTGTCTACAAACCAGAAAAACAAGTGGTCAGTGGTTAGGATCAGGTTGTTTATTCCAGATAAATCGGGGGGAAAAAAGTTCAATACACACCAGCCAAGTGCTTGGATGTCCCAGTCACTGTTATTCTAGTATTATTCAGATACTATTATAGATTTTTTTTTTTCCATTTTGAGTTTTCATTTTAATTTCAGTTAAAATTTTACAAATTTTGTTGTTTTTGTAATTTTTATTTGTTTGTTGAAATTTGTCTATATATATTTTAAATCTTTTTAGTTGTAGTTATTTTTGAACATCGTTAAATGAAATAAAAATGAGAAATGTTGCCTTGACAATTAGCTGAAATAAAATGTATAAAAACTAAAAACTTATTTCATAGAATGACATACATCTCAAACAACACAGTCTCTACTAACAGTGAATTATGGAAGTGCAATAACAGTAATTCTTGTACACAGTATGCTTTATTGTAAAAATAAGTATGGTATTTAGATCCGGGATATATAACAAAACAAATAGGATAAAGGGATGAGGAAAAGGATTTTAAAAAGTGAACTCACACTACAGTCATGGCTTAGTAAACTGAAGAGAAGACCGTTCTCACGAGTCGACAGAAGTGAACTCAAAATTCGTGACATCTCTTCGTCCTCTATCTTTGCTGCCTCTCTGCTACAGTGTGCTCTTTCTGTTTTCTCAATTCACAGATGTCCTGATCTATATCATCAAACAAATCACTCTGCTTTATACTTCCTAATGCAAATACCCTGGTATCAGGAACACAGAAAACAGGGCTCTATTCACACAACACACACAAGCTATTTGTACATTCACACTTCATACTGTAAAAAAAAAGTATTGTGAGAAATTTTTATAATAATATAATATAATATTTATTAAATCAAACATGGCTGCTTTAGTTCACTCTGTCACAGATGAGAATATGTTGAGTGACAAAACAAAGCCTGTGCAGCTAAAAATATCAGCGCACATATTACTTCAACGTTGCACGCAAACTAATGGTAGAAATTCGCTTTTTAGAAAGTCAGAACAACAATATCCCATTTAATACAGACATTCAATACGGTAAAAGATATTCTAGAGGGTGTACATTTTGCGAGCTTCTATGTCTCCAGAGGTTGAGTATCTTAAATGATTTACAAGCCAGTGGCCAGGACTTGGCAAAACAGTAGTTTGGATACGCTGAAATAAAATCATTGCAGGAGAGCTTGTCATTACAGGCAGGAACAAGCGCACATGATCTTCCCTTCCAGGCCAGAAAGCATTCGTTTCCGCCCAGCAAACCGGCTGCTTCTTCCTACAACACATATACAGACATAACCAAATTCAAACATTCTTATTCTGTAAGATGTTTTAATATCTTTGAAAGAATTTATCTGAAAGCATTTATTTGATCAAAAATACAGTACAAAAGTAAAATTGTGAAATAATATTGCAATTATTTAAAATAATAATTTTTAAAGTCCCCATGAAATCAAAATTAAAGTTTTTTGGGTGTTAGTATCAATATGTTAGTCTTAAGGTTATCTATAAGGCAGTGTGCTCCAAAACAGTTACAAAATTCGCATTTAGAAGATATAAGCATTCAAAGCTTGCAGTTCGTCACTTCCGCCAAAACGGCTCAACGATTTTTTTGACGTCACATCGTACTTCAGCTTCTCATGGCACGTAGTGCACTATATAGTGGACAGGGAACGATTCAAACATGTCCCGCCCTGTCTTCCTCTTTCAGTTAAAATGACGACAACACAGAGTAACGCTGCGTGTTTCTAAGCATTTCAGGGGACCTTTAAATGTATTTTATTCCTATGATGGCAAAGCTGAATTTTCAGCAGGCATTACTCCACTCTTCACTGCTACATGATCCTTTAGAAATCATTTGATTTGGTGCTCAAGAAACATTTTTTATTATTATTAGCAATGCTGAAAACAGCTGTGCTGTTGAATAGTTTTGTGGAAACCGTTATCCATTTTTTCTTTGATGAAGAAAGTTCAAAAGAATAGCATTTACTTGAAATAGAAATCTTTTTAACAATGTAAAAGTCTTTACTGACACTTTCAATCAATTTAATGTATCTTTGCTGAATAAAAGCATTAAAGGGGTCATATGATGCTGCTAAAAAGAACATTATTTTGTGTATTTGGTGTAATGAAATGTGTTTATGCGGTTTAAAGTTCAAAAAACACATTATTTTCCACATACTGTACATTATTGTTTCTCCTCTATGCCCCGCCTTTTTGAAACGCGTCGATTTTTACAAAACCACAACGAAGCACACAGCGTCTTCGGTACATGGCTGCAGCGTCAACAATACTACAGCGTGAATAAAAGTTACGCCTTCTTTCTTTGTGTGAACATTTGGGCGGCGTTATACAAATCTTCCCACATCGTGACGTAGGTATGTGGGGGCGTGTTAGAACGAGCCGTTTTAGGTAGGCGTGGTTAACTCTTAACTTTTATAAAGAATATCTCTTTGGTTTTGAGACTTTAGTGTTTGCAACTTTACAAATCTTCTTTATGCACCAAGAGCTTGTAACACTCCAAAGAGAAAGGAAAAATTGAAAGGAAAAATTGAAATCGCATCATATGACCTCTTTAAGGTTATTTATAAGGCAGTGTGCTCCAAAACAGTGACAAAATTCGCATTTAGAAGATATAAGCATTCAAAGCATGCATTTCGTCACTTCCCTTTAATGTCTTTAAATAAAACACTCTTACTAACCTCAAACTTTTGAATGTCATAAAAGTTAACAAAACAAATAAATAAAACCAGTCATAACATATAAACCTCCTCGTCCTGGTCCTGATTAGTAGATTTTTCATCATAGAGTGACTTACATCTCTTTGTGGCCCTTATGTGCTCCACCTTCAGCTTGATGTGTTTTGGGTGTCCCGAAGTGACCTTTCCCTCCCAATTTGAAGATGCTAGACATGCTCATGTCACCAGGGTGCAACAGGACTTTGAGAAAGATACACTTTCAGGTTGCATTTATATTCGTCATTCTTTTTAACAATGGTTTAATATGCCATCTTTATATGTGCTTGTGTGTATGTGCAGTTTCTATATTTTATATATAACATACCTTTCTGTAGTGTGGCCTGGCTCACATTAAGCGCTTGTCGTTGGCATTGCTCCAGTGATTTCAGGTATTCTCTGAAACGAAGTCTCCTGAAATTATCCACTTCTCTGCCCATAGGGCCACATTTAGAGAAGAGGGGCAAGAGGTCTTGGTGGCCACATCCTGCATGCCCTCCTAGAAATGTTTACATTCAAAGAGCTCTACTGGATATGTAGCATAATTCAAAAGACATAATTTGATCATGTAATTAACATAAATTATATTCAAAAACTATTAAGGATTATAATTTTGTGATAATAATTATAGTTTTAACTGCCTTTATAAAAAAAAGTACTTTGGTAGTAGGAACATGGTACTCTCCGACGGTAATACAGTGGTACTTTGATATTTGTTTTTATATGTTTATGTGTTGCTGTACCTGGTCATCTTTCTCCTCTCCATGTATTGGAAGATAATGTCTCGACCCAATCCTTTTCTCACAGTCTGCATTCCAATAACCTAAACATAAATATGCAATACCTTATGATGTTACACACTGAAAGAAATTAATGTTCATAATCACACCTTCGCACTTGGACAAGTTTTTGTCCCTATCTTTACCCCCAGACCATACCTGGGTTTGATTGCTGTTCTTCATTTTCCTGATGCTTTCTGCTCCAGGCCTGAATACCAGCAGCCAGGTCTTCCACAGTTACTGAGTTTCCATCCTTACTATTCAAAGAGGACATCAGCACATTCAACCGCTCAGGTTGTATGAAGAAGCCTTACTACAAACAAACCAAAACATATACATTCTGTTTGTTTCGACAATGTTCTTAATCTTAAGTCTGTGCAAAAACTGAAAAATAAATGTACAGCCAGAGCTGTATATGCACACCTTAAATTGAGTACAGATGTCTACACGCTTTAATTTACCAGTCTCAATCCAGTCCAAGAGTTTGGACAGGTTGCAGGGTTCGCATATGCACAGAAAGCTGTTCACTTCTGCAACTTCACGTCTAAGCTCGCGCGGAGACTATGATATAAAGACAAATTTGAAAACCCTCCCAAAAAGTATTTGGATAAAATATTTGGTAATTCGTGTTTTTTTTTTATAGTATTTTTTAGTTGTGGCATTTCTAGAGGCATTTTCATCTAGTTTTCATTATCAAGTTATGTTCCTACACAGTGACAGCATTTGTTGGTGATGGAACAATGCTTGCTTCTGGAGGGAGTGATGACATCCGCTTAGTTTGTCTGTCTGTTCCAAAGTGAGAACCGGTAAGAAAGTCGGTAAGAATGGGTTTATTGCAGGGGTGCCCAAACTCGGTCCTGGAGGGCCAGCGTCCTGCAGAGTTTAGCTCCAACTTGCCTCAACACACCTCCCTTTAAGTTTCTAGTATGCCTAGTAAGAGCTTGATTAGCTGGTTCAGGTGTGTTTACTTGGGGTTGGAGCTAAACTCTTCAGGACACCGGCCCTCCAGGACCGAATTTGGACACCCCTGGTTTATTGTGTGGAGCCATCTGCGCAGATCTCCCATCCCTTCAAGCGCTTCTCTGAACCTCTGAATGCTTTCCTGTCCTTGATCCAGTCCGGGTGTTCCGCGGGTTTGCCTCCAGGGAAACGCGAGTAGGACTCAGCGGCGCCTCTGCAGGCACTGAAGAGCAACTGCGCCCGACTGCACAATCCGGCACAGCCGCCTCTTCTTCTTCTTCTTCTTCTTCTTGGTGTTTAATGGCGGATGGCATACAACTTTTAGGTGCATTACCGCCACCTACTGATTAGGAGTGTGGATCAGGACCGTACTCTTCACTAAATTCTATTATATAATCCCGTGTCCTTTAAATAACGCATAAAAAATTTAAAGTTTTTATCATTATAACATTTTCCTCCATATTACAATATTCACATTTTCCAGTTTCATGTCTCCCCATTCTCTTCAAACTCTTCAAACT